TCTTTAGCTGAAGTGTACTCTCGGAACCCTTGAGCAATATCAGGAGATAATGCCATGGTTAGAGTGGCTAAAGCCCTTTCCTGCTCTTCAACTTTCTCAAACTCCTCATCAGTGTAGTTTTCAACAGCCTTGTCAATCACTTGGCCTCCGACTGTCATAGTGATTCTAGCAGGGCCTCTGAGAATGCTTCTCCAGACTTTGAAATCCTTCATTTTAATGTATTTTTCAATTCTGTACTTCCACTCAGGAAAACCATCTGCAGACATTAATCTTGGAATACGCGTAGTAGTGCCCATGACAGTATCAAGTTCGTGAAAATGATTTTGACTTTGAGATTCCATTTGAAATTAAAGCAAATTAAAGTCACAAAATAGTTTACGGTTGATGATGATTACGACCGTAAACTGGGTTTACGTTTGAAGAGTTTACGACCGTAAACTTGGTTTACGGTTTAAGTGATTACGACCGTAAACTGGGTTTATGGTTGAGCTGTTTACGACCGTAAACTACGTTTACGGTTGATGAGTTTACTGTTAATGAAGCTTGGTTTACGGTTTTTGAAGATTCACAGTTTATGGTTGTTGAAGATCTTGAGTTTACAACCGTAAACAGGGTTTACGTTTGGCACTAAACTCCCAGAAAACCTTCAGATACACGTTTTTGCAGTAGATTCAGTTCCTTTAACCACGAAAACACTAAAGCCAGGCTCGAACAATAAGAATATCAGTTCAAACAGCCCAAAAATCGATTGAATGAAGCTTTGACACCGGTTTTTGCTTTGATACCAATTGTAAGGTCCTGAAAAGGATCTTTACCAATGATCAAGCAACAAACAATCACAATAGATTAGGAAGAAGAAAAGAAATTGAGCTTGCACACGTTTATATTCAGAAAAATGTCAGGTACAACTCGATGGAACACTCTGTAAACGCAATGGCATCAACAACTTCACATAAACCTATACCTCCGCTATTTATACTGGACAGGACCGCAAATAGGGTTTATGACCGTAAACTGGGTTTACGTTCGTAAACACACTTTCCAACAGTAAACACCTAAACAACTCTCAAAATGTATTACAAACTCATACTGAACTATTACATTGAAAGCCTAGACCAAACCACATTAACTGGACCTTTCAGTTCAACATGGTCAGCCTACTGTAACTGTTTCAATTAAGACTGAACAATATGGAAAAACTGAGAATATTGAGGTGAACGATACTAATATTTCTACTTCATGTGCAGAGAAAGTAACAGTGCAAGACGGGTGCGAGAAAAACAAAGATAATTCTAGTTTTAATGAAAACTCTTCAAAAACTAACACTTTATCTTATGTTGCTTCAAAAGCTTGTGATAACACTGCTAACAATTTTAAGCCACATAAAGTTGTGAAACAATTTGTTAAATGTGCTTGTACTTATGGAAATTTAGTTGGACAGGGACCAAGTTCTGAACGTATTCCTTTTAAAAGACAAACCTGCTTTAACTGTGGAGTTCCTGGTCACATTGCCAAAAATTGTCCAAATCGTGCATATATTCCCTATTATGCCCAAGGTAGGCAGAACATATCTCGAGGAAGATCTTTCAAGAGAAACTCCTCAAGATCACGTGATGGTGACTGGATAAATACCAAGACCAAAAATCAGACTCTCAAGAACAAAAAGGTCATGTCTGACAGGAGATCTGATTTTAGAAATAGTTCAGTCAAACCAAGATCGGTAAGGTCGAAGTCATCTCGGTGATCGGTCTCAAGCTCCAAAACAAGTGTTGAAGCATCCATCCGATTAAACAAGAAAATGGTTAAACCTGACTTCAGATGGGTACCAAAATTTCCCACTCCTAAATCCCCTAAAAATTCTAACATCTCTTCGTTTTCTAGTGTTTGATAAACAGGATATGACTTGGGAACGCGTATCACGCGTAGATGGCAAAGGTCAACCCAATTTCAAAATGGATTGGGTTCCCAAAACCAATTAATCCCGCACTCTATGCCGGAGCAGCTATGGAGGAATATCATCAGACATCGGTATGTTGATAGTGGCTGTTCCATACACATGAAAGGAGACATCTCTCATTTGCATGACATTCAGAATTTTAATGGAGAGCATGTGTCCTTTGCAGGAAAGGAAAAGGAAAGATCACAAATGGGGATTACATAAATTGCTGAATTACGGTTTGAATTTTCTGACTCTTCTATTGTTTGTGATAATAATGCTGATTTTCAATCGTCCAAAAACCTATTTTTTCTAAAACCAAGCTCGTGCTTGTAGGATTTCTTAAGATTATACGTTTCGAAGACTGAAATTTCTTTTCATTTTTATTTAGTATTTCTTATTTTCTTTCATTTTGTTTTACCTTTAGAAAAAGAATTTTGTGACAATCTTTTAGGAAGTGATATGAGTTAATGATAAAGGGCAAACAAAATACGTGTAATGCACTAAAGCTGAATTGTCTAAACTCTGTGTTCAATGTGTTGGTAGGCATAAAGGACTAAGAGTAATGGAATAGACAATGTGGACTCATTTGGACTAAGAAAGACTCATTTGGACTAAGAAAACCTCATTTGGACTGACAATACGACGTTTGGATAGATTTAACAGTAAAATAGACAAGGAGGCCTATGACATAAATTGAAGTTAACTATCATCTAGATCTGTGGCTCAACACTTCATTGGCGTATGGACTTGTGTCCTTAATTCTTGTATTGACAGGGGGTGACTAAGGGGTTCTGATAAATTGGGTCTGTTTAAAATCGTTATTCTTTCTTTCTTAGTCAGCCATATGTTGTCCCCTCTGCGTGATCGGAAGATCCGACCTGGGACAACATGTGCACACGGATAGTATTCTTTCTCTCTCTCTTAGTCAGCCATATGTTGTCCCCTCTATATGATCGGAAGATCCGACCTGGGACACAACATATGCACTCAGATGATGTTCACTACTTTTATGTTAGTATATTGTGTCCTACATATATCCTACTCTCTATGTTAGTCATATGTTGTCCCCTCTGCTTGATCGGTAGATCCGAACTAGGACACAAAATATGCATTCCACAATAATTATTTACTCACCTAAAGTAAAGGATTCCGAAGAAATTTCCTTGATTACTGGGGTATGTCATGAAGTGGGGAACATGTTCCAGTGTACTAACATTAATTGCACCCATAACTGAAGGCTGACTAGTAGATTTTGCTGACTAAATTTAAGTGGACAACAATATCCCTGGTCATCGTCAGACAAAATGGTCTATTTAGGAATATCGTAGCTATATATCGTCACTCATGATCTGTCCTTAAAAATGTCCTTTGTGCTTAAGTGGGTTACAATATCAATGATTGACCAGAGTTTTTCATGAACGTGTGTGCTGATAAACCTCATTAATTTGCTTCATCACGTTTGATCCCAAAAGTTTTTCTTTTATTAGAATCTATTTATTACATTTTTGTTTTATTTAAATTTGTACATATTTTCACTGTTATGCACAAATTTAGGTGGAGAAATTATAGTAATAAAAAAATAAAAAAAATAAAAAAACTATTATAAAAAATAAAAAAATGTTTAATTTTAATTTTATTTTCATATTTGGTTTTTGAAACGTAAAATCGAAAGAAATCATTTTATTAAAAACGGGTATTTTTCTTTGGGCCGAAATCGTTTAGGTGAGCCATCTGAGCCGATTTCTCGGTCATATATATATATATATATATATATATATATATATATATATATATATATATATATATATATATATATATATATTGTTTTCAGCTGGTTAGGGTTTCTCACCACAAAACCCCCAGACAACCGTCAGTGTTTTCTTTCCAATATCTTCGAGATTTTCAGCTAAAATCTACCCATTCGTTGTTTCTGTTGCAAATTGTTCAGTGAATCAGGTAGCTTCTTGGTTTTCGATCATGGCAATGGTATTTACGTTGTTTTTGGTGTACTCGGTTTTACAGATTTGCAGGTTTTCAAATGAATTTTACGAGGTTTCCGACGAACTGCCTTGGAACAGTTTCCGATGAGATTTCGTGTTTTCAGTTCAACCCGGATTCGACCGAGATCCGATGAAGATCCGACCCAATCTGACCGAAATCTGGGTTCTCGGCCGAAATCAACCAACGTTGACCGAAATCGTCTGGTCAACACCGAAATCAAGTGATTTCGACCGAAATCGATCATCTTTGTCCGAAATCGACTGGAATTTTGACTTTGACCTTGACTTTGACCGAAATCAAATTTCAGACTTAATTTAATTAATTTTAAAGTAGTTCTCGCTTGGCTAGTTTGGTGCAGATAAATGGCAGAACAACTTAAATTCGTAGACTCTCACAACATTGGTGGATATCTCATGGATCCTCCTGCTGCTCATCTAGAATTCAAATCCATGATGGTGGGTTTGAACAACTGCAGGATCTCTCAAGCCTTTCGTGTCAATCCAGTCATTCACAAAGACCTGAAAACTGATTTCTAGAAAAATTCTTCGATCAGCAAGCTAGGAGCAAATGGAGATGGTACAGTGGAATCTATGGTGAAAGGAACACAAGTGATTATCTCTGAACAAATTATCCGAGAGGCACTCGAATTTGGTGATGCATCCGCATTCCTAATTGAGTACTCTGGTGATCGTGTCAAGGAAGTTCTGGAGAAAATATGTTATGAAGGAAACTATCCTCCCAATATCAAGAAGCTACTGCCACCCACTGGGAGGTTCCTGGCACACTCCTTCGTGAGTTGCATTTCCGGAAGAAAGGGAGGCTATGACGAAATCAGTTAGACTGTGACCTCAGCCATTGTTGCTCTAGCTATGGATTGGGATTACATCTTCTCAAAGTTCGTCTTCGAAGAAATGAAGAGCAACCTCCTGGGAAAGAAAAAGGACCTATTTTTGATGTACCCCAGGTTCCTTCAAATGATTTTAATGAAAAATATCCCCAAATCGAAAGGACGCCCGATACATTGGATATGAAAGCTTTGGGTCCCAACACTTTCGGACTCATGAAGCAATCGAGAAAGTCTGCCAAAGTTGCTTATCAAGGATTAAAGGAGTTAGTTAAATTTGGAAAGTTTGCTGAGATTGAAGACACTCCTGCTGTTGGTTCAATAAATGTTGAGGTTGCTGACGAACACGTGGCGCCCAAACCAAAGTTTCAATTTGCCATTGAAGAGATTGAATTATCTGATGATGAAGAAGATCAAGAGGATGAAGAAAATGAATTTGCAGAAAAAGAGTTTGATGTCTTTACTCAACAAAGTATCTCTAACCCAGAGAAGGATGCAGCTGTCACACCTCCTGTTGTGACTGAAAGGGTAAGTGATACATCAATGCAATCTTCCATATCGACACCTGAACATATGGATGCTCTCATAGCAGAATTACAGCAAACTGCAACGAAGCCTCCACAAATAATTTCTGTCGCTACTGAACCTCCATCTGAAAGTGATCCAGAAGACTCAGCCTACACTTTACTCCCAAGGAAGCGAACAAGAAGAGATCCAAGGCCGGGAGTGTTTATCACGGACCCAGTTCAAAATAAATCTACACCGATTGAGCCTGGTTCTATGGCTCAAAACATACAAAGCACATTCACTGAGACCTCTCCAGTGATTCAAGAAATACCAAGCCAGATCCCTGAGCCCATTCCTATGGATCAGGATTTTCAAAGCCCAATTGTTGAAGAAGAAGTCATACCTTCAGAAGGAGCTCAAACTTCAGGAAGATCATTTGAAACACCCGAGTTGGACATCTCCAAAGGAAAAAGCAAGTTGCCTGAATCTGAATTGGTTGATGTTGTTCAGCTTCAGAACAAAGTCTTTGATCTGGAACAAAACTCTGCTGAAAAAGATTTGGTAATTGGAAAGCATGATATTCGAATCAGCGAGCTTGAGAAAGAGAACTCCGATAAAGATTCAAAGATCTTAGAGCTTCAAGCGAATCTCGATGGTTTAACTGTTCTATTCTTTGATCTGAAACAATTCCTATTTCAGAAGTTTGGTGATAAATTTCAACCATTGAGCGCTGAAGGAGAAAAGATCACTGCTTCTATTTCAGGTCCCGTCAATCAAACTTCACAATCTTCAAGTGAAAGAGCTGCAAGACCTGCTCCAGATGCTAACCTTGATACATTCCTATCTTCTGGTTCTCTTTCTGCTCAAGAAAGAAGAGAGAAGCAAATTAGGTTTGAGCAGCTGAAAGGGAAAATGCTCTTGATGAAGAATTCAGATCAAAATGTTCCGGGTGATCACCCTGAAATGTTCTTCAGGGAAACTGGGAAGAAGTTCATAGACCAATATGGTGGTCGTTCTGGCATCATCATGTGGGGATACGATGATGAAAAGAATATGTGGATTGTGAAGCGAAAAAGTGGAAGAATTGAATATTATGAGAGGAAAGTCGACTTCTTGTCCTGGACAAAAGTTGATCTTTCAGAACTAATCCACGCACCTTTCCACAATCCAACCAATGATACCATGGCATGGTCCTTTAAGAATTTTCTTAGATTAAAGTGAAAAATAACTTTAAAGACTTAAAGACTGCTTCATCGTTTACTAAGAAGGCCAAGTGTGTCATTGATCTTCGCATAAACAAAACAATGGTGAATGTCATGTGGCCATGATATGTGCATAATTAGTCATATATTTTGTGTTAAATCTAAATACTTTTTGGCTATTTTATTGAAAATTATGAACAAAATATATTTAAATATGTTTAAAATGTATTTGTAGCGTAAAAGATGAGCTCGGAAGCAAAAGGAAGCGGAATTGAAGATTGGTAGCTTGGATCTTGGATTTTGAAGAAAGAAAGATGTTGCTGGATAGCTTGACCCCTCATCAGTGTTTTGGCCATATCTCATGAACCGTAAATCCGATTGACGAGATTCAAAGTGGTCTAAAAACTAGACACAATTTCGGACGACTTTCGTGTTTTGAGAAAATTCTGATTCCAAACGGACTCGACAAGTTGGCCATCAAATCGACGAATTGATCAGAAAGTTCGCGATTCTTGACGCTGACTTGCCGTCCATAGATTTTAAGTGATGGACTCGTCGAGTCGGCCACTGGACTCGCCGAGTCGCCCCTGTTTTCAATATATATATATATATATATATATATATATATATATATATATATATATATATATATATATATATATATATAAACGCTTCTCATTTGAACCCTAACTAATGGGGGAAACCCTTGGGGATTAATTTGTGACTGGAGGTGCAGCTGGAAGCTCTGGAACTCATGGAACAACCCTAGCTTTCAATTTTGAGAAGATCAAAGGCATGTTAGGTTTACTATTTGCTTAATATTTTGCTTAAACTATGTTTGCATCAATTGATTTTGTTTTTGAGCTACTTTCTGCTGTAATCATGAGCTAAAACTCATATCTTCTGTTTAGGGTGGATGAATTTATGACTATGTGTTGATTTTTATGGTTGGATTAATCTAAATTGGTGAATTTTGTTTTGTTAAGCTTGTTAAAGAACCTTATGTGTTAATTACAACTATTTTCTGTTAATTAACCAGCATATTAAGTTGCATGAATATCTCTTAATTGCTTATCTCATATGATTTATGTGAAAATATTGTTATATGCCTAGGAATAGCGAACATGAAACTAGGGTTTACTAGAAAATAGGTAAGTTAATGTGTGAGCTTGTGTGACGAACCATCAACAAGAGGTTAATTAAATTAGTAATTTGATTAGCCAACTACAAGTCTTACTTAACCCGAATCAATAAACTAGGAAATTTATTAGTTTAATCACTTGATCACTGCTTAAATTAATTAGTTTTCTAAGGATTAGTAATAGCGAACGTGAACCTAATCACACTAATCGGTAGCCAATGCCAATTAATCCATTGCACTTGCCATAAAACCAGCCATAGGAATAAGTGAATCGAATCTAAACAGAAGTCTCTTTAAATTGATTGAATCTAGTTGTCTTTTGTTTCTCCTTAGTTGTTAATTGTCCTTTGTTAAAGAGTTTAAGTATTTGTTTAAGTTTCTAGTCTTGTAAAACTAGAGAAACCCCCATTTTAATTAATTAGATAATATTAGTAATAATCGTAATTGTTTACCGTTCCCTGTGTTCGATACCCTACTTACCTGAACTAAGCTGCTAATCGATAGGTACACTGCCTTTCGTGTGTTTGTTTCTGTGTCTAAGTTAGTAGGATTAAAACTAGTTCGTTCCACACACATCAGGCCACCCACAAAGCAAGCCAAAAGGATTCCTCTTCCCAAGCGCTTAACTGAAGGCACTTTGGATACAATACAATTATGAGTTTATGATGAGGCTACTGCAACGGTGGTGATCAAGCTGAAGAAAAACCAGTTTCGTATTGTTGATCCCAAAGATTTATTGAAGTTTGGAGAACATGATATCCACACTTTAACAAACTTTCAGATTATCATAGAGAATGAACTATTTGAAGCTGCCGCGAAAGCTTTCACTGGAATGGTAGCTACAATTATCGACAAGAAGCTATGGGCAGGGGAATTTGACTAAGCAGATGTACATCTTGTAGAGAAACCTTGAAGAGAACAGAAAGCAATAAACCAAGGGGGAGATTGTTGGGCTATATTTAGTGGTTTATGCTTTGTTTTCAATGTATTATGTTGTTCTTGGTTTTGGACCGAAATAACCTAGTGATTTCAGTGGGCTTAGTGTGTTCATGGTGGGCTTGTTATGTATGGGCTTTAGGTTATCGGTTTAGTATATATATGGTCTGTGTATAGCCGTTCTTGTAGAATGCGTTTTTGGGGAATACTAGTGATTCATGGATGAAGCGTGACTGAATGTACTTGATAGTTATTCAATAGAATTGTGTGCATTCATGTTATTGAAACGTGTTCTTGATATATCTAATTGATTGTTTCGTATCATTGTTTGATTAAGATTCTGCATTAAATCAAACGATTTCATTGATACTTTAATAGATCCGAATTCAGGGACTCAGAGGAGTAGTTCTCTGAGATGTTTCACATGAGGTATGTTCTGTTGGTTGAGAGGGAGAGACTGGCTCAGGAGTATCTGGATCTGAGGCAGGGGACTGAGACGGTGATTGTGATCACCAAGATATTTACAAAGAGGGCTCTTTTCTGTCTTGAATTTTCTGCTTCTAAGCAAGCTCAGATGACCCGATACATGAGCATGCTCAAGACGGATATCCGCCAATTTGTGTCCACCTAACGTTATGGTACTCTCCTTGAGCTATAGGAGGTCGCAAGGAGGCGGAAGATTGAGATGGAGCTCCAAGCGAGGGAGTTGAGGTAGGCTCTTGTGCAGTCACATCCTGCGGCAAAGCGGTTCTAGCCCGCTGATTCGAGATCTGGGGGACAGAGGGGCCACACTTGTGGCAAGTGCGGTAAGGTTCATTAGGGTGTTTGTCGTTCTTCTTCTTATGCATGGCGCAATTGCGGTCAGGAGGGACATTTTACGAAGGACTGTCATCAGCAGGCTCCTTCGCTAAGCAGTAGGATCTGCTATCATTGTGAGCAGGTAGGCCAAGTGAAGACCCAATGTTCCTTACTTGCCGCCAGGCTAGTTCAGGCGTCAGCTACTGCTACCCCGAGGATTACGGATGGACGACGGGGTAGGGCGGAGCCGCCGAGGGCTCGAGGTCAGGGTTTCCAGCTCACTACAGAGGTGGCTAGGGCGGCGCCATACGTTGTTACTGGTATGTTTCCATTTATTATTTTGTCAGTTATTCTATGATATGCTTATTATGTTTCTTCTAGGTACCTTCTCAGTGAATTCCTTGCCTGTTCTTGTGATTTTTGACTCCGGTGCGAGTCGGTCCTTTGTATCTCAGTATTTTAGTAGGAGTTTTGATATGACTCTTGGAGAGTTGGAGTGTCTGTTGTGGGTTTCTATCACCAACGAACATGGGGTTTCTGCATCGATCGTCTAGCAGGGTTGCGTTCTGGAGATTTTTGGAGGCCCTATCCGATTCATCTGATTCATATTCCCATGAGGGACGCATGCGTGATAGTAGGGATGGATTGGATGAGCAGGTCTGGGGATATGATTGACTGCAAAGGTCAGCGAGTAGTAATACGAAACCCAAGTAGGGGAGAATTGGTTATCTACCGGGAGGGTACCAGGTTTGACAACTTTTTGTTCTGCTGACAGGGCCCGACAGTATCTGCAGCGTGGATGTATGAATTATCTTGCATATGTGATTGACACCTGGGTCGGGTCAGAGGTTTTGGTTTTGGATGTACCAGTTGTTAGAGAGTTTGCTGATGTGTTCCCATAGGAGTTACCCGGTGTGCCTCCCGAGAGTCAGATTGAGTTGAGGATTGATTTGGTTCCCGATGCAGCCCTGATTGCCAAGGCGTCGTACCGGTTGGCACCGACTGAGATGCAAGAGTTGTCCTCTCAGCTTCAGGAGTTGTTGGGAAAGAAGTTTATTAGACCGAGCAGTTCCCCATAGGGAACATCAATTTTGTTTGTCAAGAAGAATGATGGTTCACACCAGATGTGCATTGAATACTGGGAGTTGAACAAGTTGACAATGAAGAACCGTTATCCCCTTCCGCGGATTGATGACCTCTTCGATCAGTTGGAGGGTGCATCTTGGTTCTCTAAGATCGAATTGAGGTCAGGGTATCTGAAATATCCTAAAATTCAAGACCAAAAATTTTGTTTTTAAAATCATGAATAAACCATAGTTATCAAAATCATCTCATCAAAATAAAAGTCATAGTATCTCAAAACATCATGTCAAAAACACATGTCAATATATCAGAGTAAAACATCCCATGCTAAACATCATGGTGTGTGCAATGCAGTCATCCCAAGCTCTTCCCTTTTCTACCGGAAGTACCTGAAACCAAAACTGAAAACTGTAAGCATGAAGCTTAGTGAGTCTCCCCAAACTACCACATACCATACACATAATCACATATAAACATATCGTGGGCCCCACCTCTTCATCAGGCCCCGCCCGGCATCGGACAATGTCCGGCATCGGGCCCCGCCCGGCATCGAGCAAAGATCGGTATACATAATAACATATCAACAAATACACATAAAATATTCACATAACATAAACATATAAACCTTCCTCGGTCCCCGCCCAACATCAGACCGAAATCCGGAAGCATATTAACATTCCTCGCGCATTGCCCGACATCGGACCGTAATCCAAAAACATAAAAATTCAGACACATGCAAGAATCATGAAGACATCGAGCATACAAACATTCCACGGGCATCGCCCGACATCGGACCGTAGTCTGGAAAGCATATAAACATTCATCGGGCACCGCCCAACATCGGTTCTTAGTCCGGAACATACAAACATATATATACAGGCCGATATTGGTGCCTTCGACCCGTTCATACAGGAGGAAACTCACCTCAAATGTCGAATGATAGCTTAAATGTCTCTGTCTTGGAATCATCTCTACCCACTCCCTGAATCAAAACAACCCCTTAGATATCATTTATAATCATACCCCTTTTTGGGTCAACTGTGCTCAAAAGTCAAAGTCAAAGTCAAGTCAAAGTGAACGCTTCGAGTTGACTCAACTCGTCGAGTTTACTACTTAACTCGCTGAGTTCTCATAAATCACAGAATCGTGATTTTGCGATTCATATCGTCGAGTCCATCCTTGAACTCGCCGAATTCTTCCTTTCAACAGAATCGGGACACTTCACTTCAACTCGTCGAGTTCATCCTTGAACGCGTCGAGTTCCGCAGTCTGTTAGCCCCTTCTTAACTCATTAATCCATTATCCTTCAGATCTGAA